CAACGTTTGAAACGTTTAACACAACCCCTCCTCTAAATGCATTTATGAAACGTGAGTGGGCCAATAAAGGCAACTATGTAGTTTTAACTATAACAAAAAAGCACTTCTGGGCACGTAAATGGGGTAAATGTGGTAAAATGTGGTAAAATTCACCACCCATATCGCCTCTATCGGAAACCCGTTTTAATCCCCGAAGGACATTGGCAATAGAGCAGGATCGTTCATGTTTATCAAAACAGCCGGCAACTTTCTATCGCAGCGAAAGGTTGGCTAGGACGAGAGTCATTGCTTTCACTGACTATGACAAACCTACTCAAACGGATTTTCACCTTACTAGGAAGTTACCAAACGAATGTTGAAAAATACATCAGCACCATGAAAAAACCTTACCCACCATCCTCAGCAACGCCGCCTCCCGCCGGCGTCCACCGGAAAAGGGCGGCAAACCAGCGAAGTTTAAATTGTCAGAAGTGATTCCAGACAGCAACACCTGATTAGAATAAAATGCACCTTCTCATATTGCCCCGGTACCCCGTTATGCCCCACCTTCCCCTATTAGTTATAGGTCTGGCAACTATAGGGGAGATCCGTGTAAGACGCCCAGGGTCGGTAAGAGGCCCCATCGCTTTTTTTACCAAACCAATAATGTTATTTATTTTTTAATGTTCTTGTAAAGCAGAAGCCCTCTTGAAACAACAACTCACGAAACCTGAGGTATCAGGTGCGTCGCAGCGACTTTTGGTAAGCCTGTTTCTGTTTTTGCCTCTTTACTTGCTAGATATATGCATCTTTATCACCCTTATATATCTGAAAAAAAACAATGGCTATCAAATGCAATCTTATCTCATCGAAATTGTCACATGTTAGCTTCAGAATAGACCATGTTCTGGTGCGCTGCAAATGTCTCATAAACCATAAATATTGTGATGTTAAAACACTGAATTTTTTTTAAGAGGCCCTCCCTTCGAGGATGATAAAACGCCCCCCGATAAAAAAACGCCCCCGATGCTAAAACGCCTGCACCTGCGGCAGGCGTGGCATTCTTTTTTAAGGAGTTTGTTTTTGTTTCTTTTTTCTGTTTCCTTTCTTAGAGGTAATAGGTACAATTTTCGTTGGTCATCAGCGTTTGGTTGTGCTAGTTTTCGCATTGTTCGAGCGCTTTGGAAGTGTCATTGGTTTCGATAACACCGTATTTGCTTAGCTTTTCGAAATAAAAGGCCTTGCAGCTGTGTTCGCAAAGCGTCTTTTACAAGTCGACTTGACTTGTAAAACGCCCGAGGGGGGGGGGGGCGTTTTACCATACCCATAGTGTAAGAGGCCCTTTTGCAACTTTTTCCAAAATGTTAAAGTTTACGGTTTGTGTACCCCCTAGATTCATTTTGAATGCAAATATGTATGGGAAAATGATGCATGCTCACAGCGCATGCACACGTTAGCTCTTAAATATTATCAGTTGTCTAAGAATAGCAACTGAGCTTAAGGGGGGGCCTCCTGCACCACTCTCCCCTACTTTCATCCTCGTAAAGGAAGTAACCACAGCGAATCTGCACGACTAAATCATCTGGGCCCTGTTCATGAAGTCTGCGGCCGCTGCGGCCGGCCGCAGGCTCTAAGCTCCGCCCATTTTTGAAACGTCATCACTCTCTCGGCCGCAGCAGCGTTCCATGAACAGCGTCTGCTGCCGAAATAGTTTCCGACAATTGTTTACAACTGAAGCACACCGGTAGATAATTTGTTTACAAAATCGTCTCCATGACAACACGGCTTGCGCCTATTTGACTTCAGTGCGCCAAGTTCAGTGCAATTAGTTTTCTTGAGGCTCGGCGGTCGCTGGATTGCGGCCGCAGAGATCGCAGCGGCCGCAGCAAGATGACGTCATACATTCGTCATGCTACATGAGCCCCGCCCCTTTTTGTGACGTAACAACCCGGCTGGCCGCAGCGACCGCAGCGGCCGCAGCGACCGCCGAGGTTCATGAACAGGGCCCAGGTCGCCAAAAACTTGGCAGTTACAGGAAATCTCGATCTTGTCCATTCCATGTCGTAGACTATATATTCCGTGGTTTCAAGGAAATGAAATGGCAAACAAATTATTCATTTCGCTTGCATATTTATGTTTCTGAAGTTTCAAGTAGTTTATCGATATTTAATAGAGACTGTTGGGCTGGTAACAGGAAATTATGGCGGGCCGGAAACGTTAAATTGAAGAGACGGTCGACGGATAGCTGCCGTGACAGTTACTGCTGGACCATTGCTGAGAGGCTGCGACAGTGGAAGAGATGCAGCGTAAACCCATGTGTACTAAAGAATAGATACATGTTATAGTTAGGAAAATGTAGGTACCTAAGATTCGGAGAGATGTAAAAACGAACGAGCCGAGCAGTGCGTCTGTCTTTCCGCTCACAGAGACAGCGCCATTCTTTCTGAGGTAAACCTGATTTGCCATGCACACATCGTGAGATTGGTGTTCGTGTTTCTTGGTAATGCTTATCATCAAAATAAAAACCTCAGTGGAAGCGCTACGTTGATGAAACTGCAGAACATCGCAAGTCGCAAATTTGCGAAACCTTTCAGGTTCACCCATGAATCCGGTTTAAAGCTACTTTAAAAGGCACTTATGCTGGTGCTACTTTATGATGTTTTTCGAGGCAACAGTGTCGTTAAAAGCGCGCTATAAACGTTAAGTGTCGTGTTTGCACTATAAGCGAGCGGCCGGGAACTTCCACTTGGTGAGTGCAGAAGCGTTGCCGACAGGAAGGGGTACTGGAGGTCGCGCCAATGTGACGTCACGCAGCTGCAAGGACGCTGGTGATGTCACACGAAAAATGACCATTACCATCAGCCCAGTATACCATGTCGGTTAAGTTCAGCGTTTTTAATTAGGTAACTACATAATGAATTTCCCATATGTATCTAACTGGTTATAATCGCTAGAGTTGATATATCGTGCAGGGAAAAGCTGGTTAACAAATGTCTATGTGATACTGACTCCATTAATTAAGTTGCTGTCAAGGTTACCATTTTCTCTCAATGCAGTATATGCCTATAGCTGCTTTCCCTTTTCAACGAGCATATCAAAATGGAAAATGATTTGTCTATTTTACAAGGACTTCAAACTTAGTCTTTATGTTATTTAGGTACCAAAAAATGCCAAAGTATACCAACAATAGTTGATACTTATCAATCGTCGTACTTAATTGTTACAATGATAATTTTGTGTTGGACTTATCGTCAATATGTATTAGTAGGTACCTATGCGAAAAGCTCTTATTATTCAACCAAATGATTTTTTTATAGGAAAGGCCCTTTTCATTCGGTGTCACTGCTTCATCTCTTACTTGCTGAATCGGTTTTTACCGGATACAAGAGCGATCTCCATTTTCATCCAAACTGTCGCCAGCGAACAAACCAATCACCGTCGCTGCTGACAAGGAAAAAGTCTGTTCTCTGGTGATTGGAGTTAACCGAACAGGTCAAAGAGTCAACGCGATTGGAGGAGGGTTTTTATCATCATGAAAACTGAATCAACGTTACCAGCGCGAGGTAAGCTGACTTCTGCGGGGTTACTCAATCAGGCCGGGTTACGCCGCGTGAACGGCCGTAACCAGCTAAGGCCAACTTGCGACAATATTGTGCAACTCGCAGCTTTCTTCGAAATGGCTGGGAGCAAAACAACCTAAGCTATAGCCGTAAGCCGGCCTTACGTTGACAGCGATAGACCAATTTACGACTGCAATGTGGAACGTCTCCAACCAAGTTGGGACGTAGAACAACTTCTCAGCAGAGCGAAACAGCTAAAGCAATCACATAACGACAAATTTCACTTCGGTGTCGTGGCATCGCCCCAACTTTTGTCCCATTGCTATAACCAAACTCGGGCAATGCGAGATAAAAATTTACAAAATGGTCCGGGCATCGTGTGTGCATACATATTCCAAATAACTACGATGGTCGAGGCACCCAAACATGCGACTCCGAGCGCGGAATAGAAGCGGCAATACAACTTAGAGCCAGCGCACGAAAATATGTAAACATGATCGCGGGAAAGATAGAAACTTGCGTCCAATCTTCGCGTTTCTATTTTTTTTCTATATCAGCTCCTGTGAAGACAAGCAGAATTCGCAGGGCGTTTTAATCATAGAGACATAATATAAGATCTTCATGATTTGAACTCGCATTGAAATATGCCTACATTGAGCAAATGTACAAATTTCGAGAATGTAACAGATTTTGGCATAGATTTTGGGTCTTTTGATATCGGAACTACTCTAGACACCATTCATTCACGGGCTAGCCTGGCTTCATTCTACACGGATGAATTTGCACCTCGTTGCACCTGGTTGGCAAGGATGAAACTAGCCATAGAAACGTGTACAAAAAAAATACACGTTTCTATGGCTCTATAGATAACGGCGTTGTGTAAAGACGGCAAGGGAGAAAACATCCCTTTGAATTGTCCAGCTGTCTCCTATACTAACGACTGAATTTTAGCCGGAGGAGGTCAGGGCTATCTCAGGACACACATTCACACACAAAGGCTGGATCACAGAGGCCTCAGCAGCTCAATCCATCGCATCGATCCGAGCTCGAGCGCTTATCTGGGCGCCGTGGGTGTCAGGTCGACTGGACGGACAGGCTCACTGCTGCTGGCTCACTGCTGCCACAAACAGACATAGGACTGGACGGGAAAGGTACGAGCTAATCGCAGAGCTTCTGGATTTGGAGTAAACTGGACGTTTATAGCAAAAAGGTGTGTACATGTATAATTTTCCCGCTGGAATGACATAAGGAGGAACTACATACAATGTATGATACTACACTGGGGGGAGGGGGGAGGGTGTTGGTTATGAAATATGCATGCCATCGACCTTATCAGTAGTGAACATTTAATGAAGCTCACAAGTTTCTTAATTTGTTTCTTTCGTGCTTATTTATTGTAGCATGCCCAGTGCCCACTTCATGTGGCCTTTTGATGACCGATTTCGAAATTGCTACTCATCAGACATACCACCAAAGCTAGTGAATTGTGCCATCCACCGCGCCTCACTCCGAGAAGCAGCGGCGACGACCTGTTGCTCGTGGCTCCGACTGGGCGCGCGAACGCACGTGGCGCCAGCAGCTACCGTCGTCGCCGTCGTCGGCGCCGTTGGCGCGGCGTCGCCAGCGACGAGGGCCGCCAGTCCTCGCGCGACACTCGGTGCGGAAGCTCGGATGGAAGCGACGCTCCTCGGCTGCAAGGTGAGCACCGAAACGAGGCTCGGCAGGGCAGAAACGTGACGGACGCTCTCACAGGGAATGGAGATGTAGCAATACTCACTGCTGATGCTCTAAGGTGTTCATATTTTTCGCAAACATCATGTGTCTCAGCATTTCACTTGAAATAAACCTTACGACAGAAAATCGCTTCGCAACCGATTGCTGGTTGTCGCATTATAACAGAAAAGAAGCATCACTATGCAAAAAAAGATCAGGGCCAGTGACTTCTTGGCTGTATTTGTATGTTTTCAGCTGACCGTTGCTTACCGATACGGCGCTTTGGTCATCTAATGTGGGCAGATGATTAGAAACGGTGATGCAATATTTAGATCGGAATCGGTACTCGACGAGCTTTGTTGATTCGATCGCAGCCCTAACCGTCGAGTGGCCCTCTCTCCTCACCATTGTTGGGCCCGTGTTTAACAAACATCTTCAGCCTGCCAGCGTCCCTCCCGACTGCCCCGGAGCGGCAGGTCAGGGCGTCGATGTGTGGTGGCACGGCGCGGGCCCTAACTTACGCTCGAAAATGAATGCCCGTAATCGCTGCCCACACAGAAGCCCGTGCCTTTGTTTTCCAGAAAGGCGTTTTCACAGGCGCAATAAATTCAGCCAATACGTTTACAGGATACGGATTTTTTCAACTACCATGTTTGCCAAGTTACCACATAGTCCTTGGGAAACCATGGCCTGCGTTGCCTTGGTTCCTGCACTTCTGAGTAACTTTCTTCTTTATAGGAGAACAGATTTCTGTAATGCTTGGCAAAATTTATACCTTCGGATAGACGATGCTTAGAGTCCTGTTCCGTGAAAAGGGCTTTACAAGACAGTCATAGACCTTTCTCTATAATGAACTTTTGCTGAACGATGATCGGAACATATATTTTCAGGAAATAGAAACTATAATTGCCAGATTTATTCATACATTTATTTTGTAGTTAGGTAAGCAGGCGATCATACTTTATAACTATATTAGGTTCAGTACCTAGGCCCTAGGTAGGGGAGAGTGGGGAAAGATGCCCAGGGTTTTACTATGTCATATATTATTCGAAAATGACGATCGGAAAGCAAAAACTTGGAGTTTCAACGGAAGCCGGCATCATTTTTCTCCAAAAATATCACACTTTCGTGCCTGAAATATGAGAACTTTTTTTGCTATTAAGCATTTTCCTGAAGAAGTGAAAGGGGGCATCTTACCCCACAGGGTAGGAAAGACGCCCCCTGGCGTTGGGAAAGATGCCCCCTGCACTATAAGTGACATAAATGGGCACGTGAATCGCCTGAACGAATCAGTAGTCCCTTCGAGCCTGCAGTAGACACCAAACGTCATCGTAAGGGCCCTCAAAAGTAGTCGTAAGGGGCTTCAGAGGTCATTGTTAGGGCCATCATAGTCCAGCGCGGCCAAACAAGCCTCCGTGGTGGCGTTCGGAGACCACTGTGGGGCCCTTATAGGTCTTCATGATGCTTGAGGGCCCTCAAGCCCATCGTGGGGACCTCAGATGCCAGCGCGGCCCGTGGAGCCAACGTGGGGGTCCCTCAAAGGATGTCGTGAGCGGCCCTGGAGCCAATAATGGGGCCCACAGAGGCCGTCGTGAGGGCTCTCAGAGTCAGATGCCGCCCCAAAAGTCGCTGTGTGGGCCGAGAGACCGGCATGGGGAGCACCCGACCGTACTGGACTCTCAATAGTCCCAGATCGGTTTTTGTCTCTCATCACAAGTATGTAATAAATGATTTGACGGGCTGCTTGAAGGACAGCCTACGGATTTAGGGGGGCGTCTTTCCCCATCAGGACAACGGGCATCTTACCCCAAGGTACCGAAGTAACATTAAATCAGTACAATTTGTTAGCCATAAAACTATACCCTGAAACAAACTGTTTGGGACACAGTACACGCATGTTAACCCGCGCCCTGCTGGGGGGGGGGTGTTTGAACACCCCCCCTTGTGGTTTTTCGCGAATATCTCAAAAACGGCGGCGCGGAGCGCCGCCGTTTTTGGTACACCTTATCACACATCAATTCTACACATGTTGTGAAAATTTCAGACCAAGGTCATTCAAGGTCAGGTCACCAGGTCACTTGAAGTGACCTCACCTCATAAAAAGTTTCAATGTCTCTCATAGCTACACCGAGTGACCGATCGCTTTGAAACTTTCAGCGATTGCTAAGAGCAATAGCATGTACAAAACGTATATCTCAGAATTTTGATATCGATGACCTAAGGTCAGGTCAATTTTGCGACCTCCCCATTATAAGTCAATGGGAGAAAATTGAAATGCGCCTCTTTTGGACGAAAGACATTATAAACACTCCCAAACACTGAATTACAAGTGGTTTAGACACACTGAACATGAAAATGGTGTCCGTGACCCCTGTTTATGCCCTGAGGTCATCTTAGGTCACGAATGGTATCTAACAGTTTTTTCGCAAATAACTTTTGATAGAGGCATGCTAGAGCGATGAAAACGCCTTAGATGTGTTCAGCTCGACGGTACGGATCGACTGATATGCAGCATGACCCTTTCCGGTCAGGTCATGACCTTGACCTGAGGTCAAATTTTCAAGTTGACCTTTCAAGGTCAAGTTATAGTTCATTCGATGCGTCTTGACGAGAGGAACACGATGCCGGTAAAAGTAAGCTCGTACAAGGCTTGGGTCAAAAGTTATTGCAGAAAAACTGTTTCCGAAAAAATCGGCTATTTTTGCAGTTTTTGCCCCCTGCAGGCAAAACCGTTGACGTTAGGTCAAATCTGAGAAAATTACTCAGAAAGGGCGTTAATAGGGCTATCGAATGCGCTTTTCCGCGGCGCCGTAGCTCTATTGGTTCCCGAGTTATGCGTTGGCTTCTTGGAAATTGTCGACATTCGACCTGGAAATCGGCGAAATTTTGCCTTCAATGACCTCTGGTGACCTGACCTTTGACCTGACCAAAAAATTGACCGAAGTGATTTCGTCATTATTTTTGACGCTCTTTCGAACGCCGCCTTCCGCGTATCGCTACGTGGCCCAGGAGCCGAGTTAGAAGGGGGGTGTTCAAACACCCCCCCCCCCAGCAGGGCGTGGAAATCCAGGACCCCCAGCCGGGCGCGGGTTAATATATCACGACTATAACAAGGGACGCAAAAATTATCTATCTTCTTTGATATTTACAATGTTTTGACACCAAAATATTTTTTGAAAGCAGCAAATAAAAAACATGCAATCACCAGCCAGCCGCTGCCCAACTGAGCTTCGCATATTTTTGTGCAGTTAACAAGGCAGGCTTCCGCTTTACGCTATGAACATTAATTTCCAGGTTCGATTCATTGTTTCGCCGCTAGAGGGGGTGGAGCGTCTTTCCCACCCTGGGCATCTTACCCCACTCTCCCCTACTGTTTAGATGTCACTTTTTTCGGGTCTATGTCTTTTACAGATTTAAATTTTTCAAACTTAGCCCTCGCTCTGGCCGGGGGGTCGATGCGACCCCCCCCCCCCCTTGAGTTTTTTTTGCGATAGGCGCTGAACTGTAAGTCGGATCGTATTCGTGCTGAAATTTTTAATAGCTTCTGGGGCATCCTTTGCGCAACTTTCGGTAAAAGAAAACTTTCGGATCATGTCGGGTCACCGAGCTATGATGTCATAATAGGTACATCCTCCGACCGTTTTTGACAAATTCGTACATTCTTCGTAACTGGACGTGATGTCATCGACAAAAACGAAACTATTCCGCGTGATTTATGTCAGATTTTGACAAGAAATGAATCTTCACATTGTATATTGACCTTTCTAAGGTCAACCAAGGTCAATGACCTCGCATGTTCACACACTGACCTCCGTAATATGAGCTGTGTTTAATGGGATTTCTTGAGGTCCTAAATCCGAATCTGTGGTTCATTTTCACCTAAACGCCTTCAAAACTGTTTTTGACCTTCACAAGGTCAATCCAGGTCAATTACGACCGTCCTTGCCGGCGGCGGGTGTGATCTCCCGTGTTCCCGTTGATTACGTCACGCCAGTAATGGCTGAAATGCAGTCAACTATACATCATTTTGCTGCTAATTCGTTGAGAAACACGGCCGTGAATCATGTCATTATCTAGCATAGATTCCCCGATATTGGCTAAGTAACTCGAACAAATTATAGCTTTTCCCTGAAATTTGACCTTTGACCTGCCATAACTGGGTCAAATATTGACCTAGGGTAAAAAAATATACCATCAATCGCGAGTACTCGTTGAGGGTAATCGACTGGTGTTTGTTGCGAAGCGCCACAACGCTTAGTTTCGAAACGCCAGGGGGTTGCATCGACCCCCGCCCCTTCCAGGCTGCGTTATAAAAATGACCTGCCAGGGCGATTGTTAACCCGCGCCCTGATGGGGGGGCCATTTTGGCCCCCCCTGTGGTTTTTCTTAAATAGCGAGAAAACGCGGCGACGCGCAGCGCCGCCAAATTTTGGGTACCTTACCGGGCATCAATTTGACACCTTCACACAAAATTTCAAGTCACAGGTCACCTCAGGTCAGGAGTTATTGAGGTCAAACTGAGGTCATGTTCGAGTAAAAATGAGCAAAAAACATGACATCTTGAAACGCTCACCAATTCTACAGTTAACAAGCAATTTTAAAGTTCTTTATGTGGTTGTGTAGAGAAAAGACGGTGCTACAAAACTGCTATCTCGGATTTTCGAAATTTTGGGATTTTGACCCCCAAAAATCAAAAAAATTGATTTTTTTAGAAAAACTCAAAAAAATTCCCGAATTTCGAAAAAACGGAATATATATGATAGTCCCTGCGCTCTTCGATATACATACCAAATTTTAGATCGATACCTCTTTTTTTGGCCAAGTTATAGCGAAAAAACTGTTAAAAATTGATGACGTCAAATTTTTGAACTCAATTTTTAGCAATTCTAGAGCTCGTAGCGCAAAACGGAGACCACCATTGAACTCCCCGTGACAAGTTGCATCGAATCGATACCCATTTTATGCAAAAATATCAACTTTGAAATTTTACCTAATTTGACCTGACCTTGACCTGACCTTGACCTGACCTTGACCAAAACGTGACCTAAGCTGGCCCTAAAGTCTGTCTGACCCACATAATCGCATTTGTCATGTAAAATGGACCATAAAACATGTATCACACGACACTTTCATATTGTGACCCCCCCCAGTGACCTGACCTCTGTGACCTGACCTGGTATCAGTGACCTCAAATAGCAAAATATGTGTTTGAAGAACATTTCCCCATCGATGATTTTCAATGAAATGCATTTTACACGATTTTACAACGCATTTCTTGAAATGCCTGTAAACGGTGAAAATTCGACCTTTGACCTGACCTGTGACGTCATCGGTTTGACCGAGGTCAATGAAATTGGGTCACAAGGTAGTTCCCCGATGGGGCTATCCAACACCGTTTACCGCTTGTCGCTATGTTGCGTGGTTCTCGAGATCTGAGGGGGGGCCAAAATGGCCCCCCCCCATCAGACCACGTTGCTCGGCAGACCCCATCTGGGCGCGGGTTAAAACATCACTGCATTATAGTTTGAAAAATAATTACAATTCTGAATATTATCTGAATGTTTGTGCATTTCAGACAATGCTATTTATATAAGAGTACGAAAATCGAGGATGATATTTACCACATGCCGAGATATCCCTTTAACATTAGCACGTGCATTTGGGAAATGGCTTCGGCCCGCCTCGGCTAATGTTGAAGGTATTTGGGAAACGATTCGGCCCTAGGGCTTTTTGATTTTCCCAGACAAAATTTTACTGAATATTCTGAGCGGAAGAACCAATTTCAAAGAAGATATTTACGGATTGTGTGTTCACTAACAGCAACAGCAAAAGTAAATGACTGCGTGTTTACTTACTTTTGCTGTCAACGTAATTCAACTACCTAAACAAGGTTATCGTTCCAATGCCAATGTTTTATTGCTGCAGAACATGGTCGGAATAATCATTATTTCTACATAATGCACGCAAAAAACGAACAATTTAAATGCATGAAGCATCTTAACGTGCCACAATGAAACATTTGATATTGTTCCAGCTGGGATCCAAGACGCGTTTGATTCAGCGTTTCACCCAATTTTCAGTTTTCCTCATGGTTTCCTCACTCCTGCTGGACTCCATATCTTTATTCTAACTTCTGGCGCTTCACCATCTTCATCCTCAGCTTTTTCAAACCCTAATTAAGGGGGAAGTAGGAATTTCATCTTTCATACTCAACGCAGCCCAATAATGAAAAACACAAAAAATAATCACGGTGACTACAAATATGAACATAGTACTAATATAATATTAACACAATATTAAGATTAAAGTGTAAAATATCAAATGAATATGATATTAACTGTTGTGCCGGTACGGCATGTGGTAAATCTCTTCCCAACCTTGGGCTGTGAAAATGCAGTTTCATTCACCTCGGTTTTTTGCTACGGACCTCGTGCCTACCGGCACTCGGTCCTCCGCACAAAAACCTCGGTGAATAAAACGCATTTTCCCAGCCCCGGTCGGGAATATATATTACCACATGCCGAGATATCCCTTTAACATTAGCACGTGCATTTGGGAAATGGCTTCGGCCCGCCTCGGCTAATGTTGAAGGTATTTGGGAAACGATTCGGCCCTAGGGCTTTTTGATTTTCCCAGACAAAATTTTACTGAATATTCTGAGCGGAAGAACCAATTTCAAAGAAGATTTTTTGCTCGGTTTTTTCGTTTTTTTTCCTCGGTTTTTTGCTACGGACCTCGTGCCTACCGGCACTCGGTCCTCCGCACAAAAACCTCGGTGAATAAAACGCATTTTCCCAGCCCCGGTCGGGAATATATATTCCCATACATGGGTGAGTGATGACGATGTCACTCCCCCAGCTGAGCATTCATTTCTTATTGGTGATAAACGAGGGAAGTGGCTACGAGGCGTTGGCGTGACGTAACCCCCTTTTAACCACCTACATGTATGTAGGTAGAGCACTAAGACAAAACCGCATTTTTTACCTAGTAGGAGTATATAAAATATAATTAGATCAATGACATCGTGTGTTAGCTATTGTTGAAAACATCAAACAAGACTACAATGGAGTGACCTATAAGAGTTTAATATATTAAATGCCTCTTTCACACAATATCTATGGGCATTTAAACTCTGGACTGCAATTCAGACTGAGTCATTAATTTGACGTCTCACAAACTTTTTGACTGCGTTTTGTAGGTATACCTATGCTGTGCTAACGTTTTTCTCTGCTCTTCCAGGTTCAGAGATTGCAGGATGTCATCCAGAAGTGATGTGCATACGGTATGTATCAAATATGTGTTGACGAGGAAACATCACAGACATTTCAGAGAGACATTTTGGAATCTCCGGTAATATTGAGTTTCGCGAGTTGTTACCTGCATCTAAAACATAACTTACCATATTGCATATGTAGCGTTTTCCCCATCGTGTAAAAACAAAAGTGGGAAATAAATCAGTCATCATTGATTACCGATTTTACAAACCTGAGATCATGGCAGCACTTCATTAAGAAGTAATTGCATTTCGCTAATAAAAAACGCGTTTTTCTTCGACCACCATTTACCAATGCAGTCTTTTTAAATGCGTGCAAACTGGCGGTTACGATAGAGATGCACTTGCAAAGGGAGACGTGCTTTCGCGCAATAGTTAGCTCCGACCCCGTCATTTTGGAATTCCTTATCCCGTGTTTGCCCGAGTAAAGGCGCTTAAAACTGCAAATAATTAAAGCGGCCTGCCACATACCAACAGGGTAATGGGATATGTTGGAGCAATCAAGACTGCTTAACGAAGAAGACTGTAAACAGAACCTAATTATTGGTTTGTCAGATGCAGTTTTAGAGCTTTCCAGACCAAGCAAGATGTTATTACGCTTTTTTTTTGTCATGTACAGAATACTCCCTTGCCTTTTTCGTTTACGGTACCACAAACTTTACTCTTTAGTGGTACGTTTATTATCAGACGTTGCTTTTTTAACAAATCACACATACGATACCGTGGAGAATAATATTTGTTTTGTAATGCAATGGCTATGCCATGCCTTTGCGACTCCGGATCAAGCACGTACTGCGGTAGCTGTTGTTGACAAATGTCAAACAAGATCCCATAAACAACATGGGGCGGCATTCAGACGGTGGGTGTTTGGGTTCACAGATGACGTCACGGGCTGGTGTTTTTTTTTGTCTTGTTTGAAGTGCAGTGACGATAAACTTATGATGCTGCAGCGTTCGCTGCAGGATGAGTTCAATGCGACGCACTAAGATGTTTTTCAGAATTATTCGTTAAGTCTTCAGATTTTGGAGCAGAAACTATTTCGTTTGTAAAACCGAGATGAGCTTTCAGTCCAGCTCGTCGGTTTCAGTTTTTTTGTCTTCTTACGTGTTACCTGCTGTTACCTGTTCTAAGAACTTAGGCCTTTGTATTTTCATTCCGCATCCCATCTGCGAGGGACCAAGTAGTGTTGTCACCATATTGGTGGACTCCATGATTATCAGCACTCTTTGCCTTTTTCAAAGGTTCTGATTTCTATCTCTCATTCTGAGCTGCGATTTGTGAAACAGGCATCACAAAAATACTCTCCTTTCGCTTCTAGTCTGATGTCAACATCTCTTCCTGTGAGTTTTACACCACTCCATCACTTTGATTGTAGTTTTATGCACCTTTTGTGTCGCACTCTGCGGTCGGATGGCTCTGGCTGGCTGTCGTAGCTGGCGCTGACACGGGATCTGGCAACCCTGGATATCCCGGCCCATCGACTGTGATAAACAGCTCACTTCTGGGCATAAGAGGCTGTATTTTGCGGTAAATGGGCTATTAGAGCATGACTTAGGGAAATGTGGATTGCCAACTATTCATTGAATAAGCATCGGGAAGCATCTATGGTCAAGTAACAATCTAGGCTATATATCGGCTCGGTAACACACCAACTATTAAACATTTTATAGTGGACCGAATCATTGCATGAGAAGTTTCTACTGGATTACAAATAAGTACAAAACTAATGCTGTTAATTTGAATCTTGAAGAAGTTAATATACAGTGTACGACTGTACAGTAAACTTACATAATGATTCTTTAGTTGCATCACTCGGCAATAGTTTCATTGAAACGAGCCCGGCAGTGATAATACCACATTACGATGGGTTACGATGAGCTGTGACACTTATGTGAAATTTGCGGTCGCCCGCCGGGCACGTCTAAGCGAGCTGGGACGCTGTGGCGGATCTATGTAGTTTAGGGCCGATAAATGCTGGGTCGTTAGTAAGTGAGCTGTGCTATGGTTAAGTTATAGCTGGCCCGAGGTGGTAGGGAGCCTCATTATTTATCAACGTGACAGCTGAGGGAGGAGGAGGAGGAGGAGGAGGAGAGAGAGATAGAGAGAGAGACAGAGAGAGAGAGAGAGAGAGAGAGAGAGAGAGAGAGAGAGAGACGAGGAGGGAGGGAGGGAGGGGGAGAGAGAGAGAGAGAGAGAGAGAGAGAGAGAGAGAGAGAGAGAGAGAGAGAGAGAGAGAGAGAGAGAGAGAGAGAGAGAGAGAGAGAGAGAGAGAGACGGAGATGAGGAGAGTCCTGTCGAAAGAGCATGGTATGTTGCGTGTCTTTGGCTAGAAGTGTACAGCGTTCTTCTAATTGCAAGAGACGGAACCTCATCGCTGGGATGAAATGGCTTGCTGGAATATGCCCGAACGGTAGAGTCTTATGAGATACAGGGTGAGCCATAAAGATTTACCCATCGAAAATTTAACTTTGTTTCAAGGCGCGCTGACATCGCTATGTCATCTTTTACATACATATAACAGCGTCATCTCCTAACTAATAAATGTAGTCTGTTTTCTGTATGCTTGTATTCTTCTTATGTTACGCGGCCGAGACGCGAGAGCACTATGGCACGCGGCCGCCGTACCGTCTTTTCACTTATTTTCCTCGATCACCCATGCTATAACAATGCTGCGCCGTATGTCATTTGCGGTGTTTCAGGGACTCGGTAGAGTCGGGTTTTCAGGATATTTCAGTTTGCGAAGCCCGTGGGGCTGAAGTCGGGATAAATTGTGCCCAGCATTCTTTAGACCAAGGAGTGTTCAGCAGCCAACACCCAGTGGTGATTCCTGAATTTCAGGAGCGGCGAATGTGCGTTAAGACGACCTCGCATTTCAGGAGCGTAGCAGAGACAGTGGACGAGCATATACAAAATGAGCTACACTGTCAGGATTGGAGACAAATTTGCGACATATATGCAAAAGATGGCATACTTACGCCAACCCGTTTGGAAATAAGGTGAATTTATCGATGGGTAAATCTTTATGGCTCACCCTGTAGAAGACCAACGAAGGAAAAATCTTGAGTTCCAGAACGCGATGAAACTGTGTTTTGATTCGTAGGCTTACGTTACTTTAGAAAGCTTCATTAGTTTCTTCGATCTTCTTCTCTATGTCATGCCCTGACCGGCTGCACGCGCGGATATTGATCAGCGCCAAGTCACCGGCCACTCAGTGTGGTAATCGGCCCCATTCACCGAACATGATACAGCCCGGTCACTGACAGATACGCTCCGTCAACCGGCCTAGCCACGGCTATAGGACGAATGGGACAGTAGGTATGTAATGTACATACCTCAGACTGGCGCAAATGGGTCCGATTGATACAATGTAAAACTTAACTCATCATTATCCTTTATGTAGCTCAAACCGAGCTGAAATAAAAAATATCCATATGCTCGGACGGGCTCTGAATTCTGATACAAGCTGATTGTGGGTTTTTATTTATAGTGAAAATAGATACTGCAAGTCTGCATGCCGCAGTGTTTCGGATGTCAATTGCCGAATTGTCGCCATCGTCTAGCGCGCCATGGTTATTGAATTTCACAACCATTCGTCGAGAAGTGTTCAGTCGTCACGTGTCCGATGGTTCTTATAAGTGCCGCGATGGAGTGTTCCGCCTTTCATGCCTCACTTGACTCTGCATTCAGCGCTAATTGAGCTCTAGCTTCACAGAATTCCGTGTAAATAATGCTGATAAATTATAGCATATTGTGCTAAATGAGCATCTGAAGAACATCCGATGAACAACTAGAAAATTGTGCATGAGTAGCATCATATTATATTATTGACAAAATCCTTATCAGCATCATGCAACGTAAGCAAGGAAGGCATGACAATCATCTAAAACATATGACGTGACTGCACATCGGCGGACTGAAGAAGCACTTCTCTTTCTTTCAGTTGCCAAAAAGATTCTCTCGGGAAGCGGAATCAGTCGTGAATGGAAAAGAAATAGTTGAAAAGGCCTGTCTATCCAGACATTATCTCCACCGCGCTGCTGAAATGCTCTCAGCGAATTCGGACGTTCTTTTGTGCGTCGGATAAAATCAAATGAAGTTGTTCAAACTGATAATATGATAGCACATCAGTATCGAAGAGCTCAGCAACAGGTTCCCACACAGACTGAAACGACATTAAACTGAATATGGTTTCCTTGTTTCTCTCGTTTCGCTCACTAATTTCTCACTTTGCTCACCAGTCACCATACATTCATCTCACGGAGACCCCTCCGTGTGCATAGAGGTCACATTATCACCCCAATGCAGGAACGGTCGCGTGACCGATGACCACCCAACCACCCATCGAACCCATCCAGGTCCGATGCCAGCTCTGTTTTTGAGCGGCTAGTGTTCCGCACCGGTCGGCCTTTGGACGGCAGCACGTATACCGGTGAACGCCCAACAGCGTGCGGCCAAAGCGGTCCGAACCACGATTGTCCATTAGGGATGAAGGGGAGGGGCGCGCGTCCCGACACCAACAAGGTCACTGGTGGCACCCCTCCCCTCCCCTCCCTCCTCCGGGCTGAGACAGGTGGTGGGACGATGGGGCATTATAGCTCGCCTCAACGAAAGATCAGGCTTGACGGACTCTAAAAGATGAAAAAAATCACCATCAATGACAAATTTTACATGGTATACGGCACGATTTATTGTATGCATTTGCATGCATCATGCTTGCAATATCTAAGTTATGTTCATGTTTTATGTTAAGATACATAGTCAAGAGAATAATGTAATGATTCGGTGTTTGTATTTTGCTCTGATTTGTTTTGTTATTACTGAGAGTATTTTGCGAGGGTTCTTTCACTACATGACACAAACATAGCTTTTGATGCCATTTTCCTCTAGCGCTTGCCTTGCGCTCCGTTAAAGTTAACTCATCGTGTTGGAGGTGCGTCAAGTTGCCAAACAGGCCATATCATTTCCAAAGAGCATCTTCCTTGAATACCAAACCGCAGCAGCCAGCAGTCAGCCAGCCATAAAATCGCCGTCTAAAGTTCTGTACGCTTCCCAAGATGTGGGACGTCCCTTTGTTGTCAAAACTGACTGTCGCAGCTCAGCCAGCGCTAAAATGCCCAAATGAGCCCGAAATGTAAAAAAGCGAAGCAAGCGTGAATCTGCGGGGTCTCGGTGAGGTTGTCTACTATAACAGTAGAGTACCCCTAAATTCTAGTGATACAATATTCTATGACTCAGTTCATTAGTTCCCAAATCAAAAAAGGAAATCAGCATTTGTCCTGCTCAGGTAGTTAATTGAACCTTTGTCCTGTGAATAGGCTTAGAAGATAGTTGAGCCCCAGCATGCAACGACCAATAATCACTTCTAGTTCGAAGTGCGAACATTTGTGTGCGAGTACGATCAATAAGAACAAAACGTTTTGATCGTAATTAAAGCGAATCTGTAACATATCTGAAGATGATTGATTTGCGAAGTGCTGAGGATTCTGTGAAATAACATGACGACTTTTCAGTCGCTGCCACCTAATAAATCAAAAGCTGGGTGCTTGTGGAGTTTCATAATTCGTGAAAGTAGTTCAGCACCATGACATTGAATCAACTCATAGCAAATGAAATCATTACCTAAGGAATGCAGCTTTGAGCGACTTTGCCGCTTTGCTCGTCGTTGAATTCTTAACCCGCGCCCCACTGGGGGGGGGGGGGCTATTTATAGCCCCCCTCCCGTTTTTCTGCAATAACTTCCAAACCGCTTGACGGATCGACGCCAAACTTTCAGTATCTTTGGCTGCATCAATTTGACACCTTGTGTCAAAATTTAAACTTCGTAGCTACCATAGGTCGGCCGGAAATGACGTCAGAGTGACGTCATGTTCGTCCGATTTCGACGCAAAACATTGAACCACGGCAATCGCTCCCAAGAGCTCAGTTTTTAAGCTAGATCCAATTTCTTTGCATGAAAGGACTCAGAATTGACCGCGCTATCAAACTGCTATCTCGGAATTTTCAAAATTCTCGGATTTTCAAAATTTTGAAAATTTCGAAAATTTTATATAATAATATTCGAAATTTATATTTTTATATTTTTTCAAAAAGTTTTTGACTTTTCGAGAAAACCGGAATATATGTGACAGAACGCATGATTATGACTAACTCTAGCACGTTTTAGCTAAATATCTTCAAAAATGGCCAAGTTATACGCATTATTGCAAAAAATTCACAATTATTAATTTTTCAAATCATTTTTTCAGTACGTATTTGACATCGTACACCAATATAAATGGCACCATCGTGTTCCTGAGCTCAAACTGCATCCAATACACACCTTTTTTTTGTTGAAAAATTCTAACTTCAAAATTTGACCTTTTTTTGGCCTGAAAGTGACCTGACCTAAGCTAAATTCGACTCAAAATGACCTCGAATGACACAGACGACATCAAATTCGAAATATATGGCCTAAATGGACCATACAACATGTGTCACGTGACCGACGCATGATATAATATTTCCGTGACCTGTGATGACCTGACCCTGACCTGAAAATCAAAGTACAAGTTTGGTACCCTCAAGGTATCTAGAGCATCTGTTCACGAGTGTGGAAACAAAAAATGAGCCTGATCTGACTTGTAAGACGGCGGCCAGAGCCCAAAATGTGAACAAGCCAAAATGCCAATAATTTTTACTTTGACCTGACCTGTGACGTCATCAGTGACCTCGAGGTCAATGAAATTAGGTTTCGTTCGACAGTTTTTCCGGGGCTATCAGACGCCGTTTGAATTTTGACGATCGGCCTAGTAGTTTCGGAGTTAGGAGGGGGGGGGGCTAGCCCCCCCCCCCCCAGTAGGGCGTGTTATACACAGACCCCAGTGGGGCGCGGGTTAAAACGCGATACTTTTTGCCAATGTGGCTTACCCATGTGGCAAATGGCCTTGGCCTATATTTTTCAGCCAGCTACCCACCGCGGTGTTTAATGAAATTAAATGAATCTTTCAGAAAGATAAATGCGACTATACATCATCTTGATTTATTGCGCTAATAAAACTTCCTGATGCTAATATACTGCGTGGGTTGTTAAGCCCTTTACATGACTGTAATACATAATAAGTTAAATCTCTCTCCGAAAATCTTAAATCGCTGATGCCTTTATCTACAATTATGACATCTTTCCTGTACATTAATAACGGTCGAAGCCGATTATCGACATTTGTTTTAGAAGTTAAATGCCGTTGAGGAACTACAGATTTCCAGATATTGCTTCACTGGGAATCCTAATCTGTTTCATCTTTTCACAAGTGATACATTTAGGCATTACACCAACTGTACCTACATAATTGAATCACCACTGATGGGCGCACCTCTGTTTACCGGCTTAGTGGATTAATGCGTTCGCACGATCCCAGCAAGGAACGTTTCTATATAAAGCGTTAAAAATGTGTCTGATTTGATTCCAATGCCGAATCCAATGTAACATATCACAGACCAGAAAAGTGCCTAGAAAATATCCAGACCAAATTGTTTTCGTTCGTATCGCTCGCGAGGAGTAGTCACTACCAGCTAGCAAACTGCGGTCCATTTGCGTTGCAGTCACCGAACGCTCGCAGTTCGCACACATGCTGTCCCGCAGGACTCGGGAGTATTGCGGCACAGTCTACCAATGCAGGGCACCACCCGTGCCTAGCGCTACACAATGCGCAATGCATGTGTTATGGAAAAAGGAACTGTCGCATGCAGCCAAATGAGTTTGATGATATGTCTATATGTCACCGCCATCCTACAAACGACGCCCACTAACTGGTGGTCCAACAAACGGCACCAGCCCATGGCGTGCTGCTGTTTCATCTCTGTCCCTCCCCTCGCCTGTCACTCATCGTGTCCATCTTCTCTCTTTCCGCGTCAGTCTCAGCTCCCCTCCCATTTAGCCTCCATCGCTTGGCGGTTGCTCTGTCCTTGCGAATCATTCCTATCAAAAAGTTCGGACAAATTTATTTTTTAAAAAATCCCCTTTCCCTGACCTCCCCCGTGCCCATCTCATCCTGCCCCTCCCTCCCCTCCCCTCCCACTCCATCTTAGTCTAACCTCCCTCTCCCCTCCCCTCCCCTCTCTCCCGGCAGAGGACAGCCGTGTGTCGGAGCGACGAGCGGCGCCGATGACCTCCGTCGGAGATGGTGTCCACCGGGCCCGTGTCGACGGCGTGCCCGTCGACCGCTGACACCGACACCATCGAGCTGGTGGAAACTGTGCAGCTGGCCACCGGCACCGGGCTCAAGACGGCCCAGCCGGCTCACTGCCGGCCACTCTCCCGCGTGCTCCGGATACGGGTATTCCAGGTACGTGCTCCGGATACGGGTATTCCAGGTGCGCGCTCCGGATATGGGTGCTCCGGATGGGTGCTCCGGAGGGTGTTCCGGGTGGGTGCTCCGGATAAGGAAGGTCCGGATATGATGAGACGGGTGGGTGCTCCGGATAATGGTATTGCGGGTGGGTGCTCCGGATGGGTGCTCTGGATAAGGGAGTCCGGATATGATGAGACGGGTGGGTGCTCCGGATAAGGGTGTTACAGATGGGTGCTCCGGAAACGGGTATATCATATATTGATCTTGGATCACATTTTCCTGATCAACCAAACCCAGCCTGCACCATCTGGCGTTAGGCGACTGGGGTCTTCTCCAAACAACTTTGTTACCTACCCGACTTGTTTTGTTTCTCGTCCTAGTGGTTATTCTTAACTTGTTGAAAATTGTTTATTATTTGTTTCCCTCCCATATGGTTTATGCAAATGACAAACATAGCGAGGACAAAACACAAACCTCAGTCCCCTTTCTATTACCCCCAGATATTCTGTGGAATCGGCTGCATGATAATGGCAGCAGTGGCCTTCATCGAAGAAAAACGCTTCAACCTAGCCATAGGGCTGGTGTCCGGCGCCTTGACCGTTTTCGCTGCAAGTAAGGCACATTTTCGGTCGCAGGCCGCAACCCAGCAGGATACAGTCGAGGATGTTATTGTTGAGGGTAGCGTTTGACAGCGGCCAAATGTCACTTACATTTGCAGTAAACCTGTCGAACGGACCAATTCGCTTATTTGACTGTGTCACCAATGTTGATAAAAGCGGAGGGAGGTGCTGTGCATGTTTACAATGAAATGTTTGCGAGGCGAGAATATGATGAGATATTTGACTAATCGCTGCTCTTCCTTCCAGGTGCTAGTATACAAAATAGTAGCTGCTTTGACACTGTGTGTAATTCCTGGAACATGAACTTCAAGCGAACTTCACGATCTCAAATCCCAAATGTCTTCAGCAAAGCACACCGGGTAAGAATTAATAATGACGTGCGTAAGTTTAGTAAACTTAATTTAAACTTACTTTGTACGACAAACTTCAGTTAAGAGTGTTAGATGCATTATCGCTTTATCAAGCGTTTTATGTTATAATCATATTTTCAAGCTACTCCAGCTTCCTTTGTCAAGTGTACCTAATCGGTTAGCGTTTCTGAGCATCCAGAGTTATTAAGGATTAAGGGACGCAATTGTTTTCCTCATAGACACGATAGCTTTGCTAGAGGTCTGCATCCATCCAACTAACAATGCAATGCCATTAGGCGATGACATCATGTGAAACAAGTGTCGTATACGACGTCGTATGCGACGGTTTACGCCACGACTACATCGCAGTCATTCCACGCTGATCTTTTAGCTCTTCTGTTGCATGCTGCAGTAAACCTGGGGCCGAACTAGGGTCAAATTGTGAATAGCCATTTAGATTGCTGAATTCCAAACCCTGATCTTATCCCCCGAATCCTGACCTGACAGTCCCGAGTATTTAACCCCGACATTCATTCGTGTCACTGTCACTTTCCTTCGACCGATGACATCAGACCACTGACATTAAATGCCTGACCTGTGAACTTTGATGGCTGACCTCCGACGCTTGACCGCTGACTCTGACCACTAACCTCTCACAACTGACCTACTCATGACATGTGACCTTTGACCCCAAACCACCTTCCACGGACCTTTGACCCGTGATTGCTGATCCCGACCCCTCATCTCTGGCCTCAAACCCCTCACCTCTGACATCTGACCCATGGCCTCTAACATCTGACGTCTCACCTCTGACCTCTGACCTCTCTGACCTCCGGCAGCCGGCGCTGGGCGTGGCCATCAGCTGGCTGGTGGCCGGCGTGGGCAACACGGCCCTGATGGTGGTGACGGGACTGACTCTGCGCCGTGGCCACCTCAGTGACACGCTGCTCATACTGTGCGTCATAGAGATCGTGCTCGTGGCCGGTTTGTCGCTCAGTGCCGCGCTCGTCGTGTGGATTGACTACCGCGTTCTGCGCGAACACGCAGTGTAGTGTTGGCGACACGGCGGCGGCGGCGGCGGCGGCGGCGGCGCGGATATGACTCCAGTGAGGTGTTTCATACTGTATCACATCGCAACGCTCATGGTGGGAGTGTAAAGAAGAGCGGCCGGCGGGTGGGGGGTGAGCGCGCTCAGGATTTGAGCCCCTCCGTCTGCAGTACGCGCTGCTCGCCCCGACCCGTCGGCCCAGGGACGTTCATCGAGTCATCTTCACCGCTGTGTGTGTGTGAGAAAGAGTGAGTGAGAGTGAGATGGAGACAAAGAGTGATAGTCTGGCTGATTGTGCAGCTCTCAGCGTGGTTGGAAGAGCTTATTTTGCAACTGCTGTCGAGGCAATCAAAATGTAGTGTGGGTGCTTACTCTGTGCCGCGCCCAGTGTTCCATAAGCGGCTTTCCGTATAAGCGGTGATCGCCGGCCTTCCGGCGGCGGTATTGTGGTTTATATTAAACATTCTGGCAACTGGTTTGCTAACTTGTCATTATTGCACTTCAGCGTTGTACTTGTGAAAAGTTAAGAGCTGCTTCGTAAGCGTAACATTGAATAAATTGTGCTTCTTTGTTGTCAAAGAGGATAGATGGCAGTGTTTTAACGTCAAGTTTGGACTGTTTGGGAGGAGATGGAACATTCATTCTAATGTTTTAGTGACATGGTTTGTCATCATTTTCTTGCGTTATGCTGTCGGTAATAAATTGTTTAACTTACTGAGCTTGAGCAGTTTTGTTTGTGAGAAATATTGGTACGACCCACAAGGAAAACCAGCGCTGCCTAGCTTCTAAGAATTCCTCATTCCGCAACCTTATACCAATTAGTTCACTGTAGTTACAGAGCAGAGGCTACCGAACTCAAAGCGGCGCCCGACCACGGCCACCCCTGCCAATCCGCCTAGCGGGCTGTGCCTTCGCGCCGCCAAACTGCCTCCATAAATTCCGCAGCTATCGTCTATCCGCCGCTGTTCTGCGGTCTCGTCGACGGTTGCTAACGATTGTCGCCGCCGCGCTGTGAGCCAATGACGTCGTTTCGTTCAGTGCCGCCGCGGTCTCCGCTGCCGTCTCTGGCCGTCGTGGAATGACGTCTATACTACACAGTTAGCCCCCCGGCGATGAGTGATTTGAAATTCCCCAGATCATTCTAGAGCCGGAATGCTGTTCCTTGGTCTTTGTGAGTGACTTTGGTTCGGACTCAAAGACGCCATTGCTGGATAACGAAAACAAATTCAGGACTGACATTTTCACTGTTTGTCGAAGCTCGCTCAATAAAATTTGTTTACTTGTTCATTTATCATCATCACGCCCAAGACTTTTGAAAAGGAATGGGGCTCGAACTGAGTTCAGTTCAAAAGATCGCTGAGCGCATTCCGAATAACAGGGATGGGGAATAAGCGCTGCTATTAGGAAGGTGCTTTGTAAAATTTATTCCAATGGGAACAGATGTGAGCTGGAATATCTTATCAAACCAATTTGAGATGCAAAATATACCTACTTTGTGGGATGCTTTTGTTAATGAGCATGTAACAGAAAATTCGTAAGGAAAGGTTAAAATCGTCACGGTAACCCGGTGCAGCAAGTCGCGATAGGTATACAGCGGGCGCGATACGGCTCAAGAAGTCGATGCAAGGCACATACATAACGGGGTAGGTACTGCAACGCTGGGTATCGCTAGGAGCAAGCTAAGCTTCAACCACTCAGCGTAGGATGCATTTTTGTTCCATATTCCTTTAAATTACATTTTTTAACTCCGGACATACACAAATGATCACCAAAATCGATGGAACAACAAAAAAAGCAGCAATATTGAACAATGAGACTCAATCTTTCAGCACTCAAGTTTCGACCATATATTATAAAATAGCCGATTTCCATGCATCACTCAGCTTAACGATCAACTTTTTCAATTGAATCCATATCCAAGATTCAAGAATCGTCTAATTCAAATAACTTGTGCATACTGATACTTTTCCAGCACCACCTTTCCTTTATCATTCAGTAAGACCAAACACTTTGAAAATGGATTTTCGACATTTTGAGTTAATTTTATACCTATACGAAGTATTGACGAAGAAATGGGTAAGAAATGCTACATCGCTCATCCAGGCGATGGTAACTTGAAGGCGTTACTATGCTTGTAACGCACGTGACTTCCATGTCAAGCACTAGCAAATCAATCCATGCACTTTTTACCGCATCATGTTTGCGTAAACATGAGTTTATTTAGTCCAGTTTAAGTTTATTTTGCTTTTAGTAATCTTCCATAAATTATTTAGTGATTCTCTCAAGTAATGTGATTAAAAATTGCCTCTGATGGCTATCATATTCAAGCTTGTTTTACTGTGCATTGTTAGCATTTCTACTGCACAGGAAGAGGATCCCGATACGATGCAAAAATGGTATGATATGAACTCCATGTTTATAAGCTATGGATATCGTACATACGGCCATTGCCAACTGCGTGACTATACAGTATCATTCGACGGCAGACGTATAGAACTGGCAATTGAAGATCTGCTCAAAAGAAGAGAAGATTTTTTCCACAAAACTGCCCGGTGGACTATAGACGAAAATGCAGAAGCTGCAGAAATAGGATACATGTTAAGCAGGCAACAACCACCTAATGAGACTTTATTTGAATATGGAAAGCGCGAAATTGAGGAAAACACATGCATCAAATTCAAAAAAGTTGAGGAAACTGAGGACAAGGCATGTGACACAAAGGGTAACATAGACTACTTTTGTTTATACGAAGAGGAAGGCACATGCGCTGGAGAGTATGGACAAAATTTAACGAAGCCATCACTGTTCAGCATAAGTGAAAACTGTGGACAACGTGGATTATTGCATGAGTTTGGCCATTTACTTGGATTATATCATGCCACCAGTAGATATGACAGAAAAAAATTCATAGACGTCGCATTTAAGCAGATTGGTTACACAAATGATCAGTTCTTTAGACGTGCCATATTCCATGACTATGAGCTTTGTGACCATTCTACTGAACAGCAATTGGAAATGCCATATGACTACACCTCAATCATGCACCCCGGACCATTGGAGTGGACAGAAAACTATGAGCTCGTCATGATAACACACGATCCAGGTTACTTGTATTTAATTGATTATATTCAAGATTTCAACCCTCACTTGTCACACTATGACAAGTTTATGTTGAATAAATTATATAAATGTGATAAAATATACGGCAAAAAGTGTGGCTCCAAGACATGTGGGAAGCTTGGTTACCTAGCGAAAAATTGCACATGCATGTGTCCAAAGGGTACCTCAGGAGAAACTTGTTCAAGTGTGGATTCAACTACGGATATCTACGATTTACCAAGCAAACCAGCTTGCTACAAAAAGGTGGACGCCGAAGACACGGAGTTTTCTCTTCAAGACGCTGGTCTAGAGAACATCGAAGGCCTGCAGGCGCCCTTCACCCAGCACTGTGTCATTGAGGTGGTCGCGGGGGACGAGTGCAAACTTCCCATGGTGAGCATCGACGCAAGGCAAACTATGCAAGCTATGCAGAATAGAATCAGATATTGGTTCGACAACGACGCTTTAGAATGCTCCTACTTCAGTGTGTTCTATAACGTCAGTCGCACCAAAACAAGAAATATTTGTTGGGACATGCTAGCTGTCAAACCTATGTATTGGATCTTCTCAAGACAAAGAAACTTCTGGATATTTGCCCGATTTAGAGATGACAAAATAGCGACGGTGGCTGGTGGGATCCACATCTACTTCCACAGCACAGGAGACTATCGCTGCGATCTTAACGGCAACGACATCTTTGATGCTATTAACGCTGGAAGAGCTCGATCAATTGGCGGAGGGGAAGAGTCAGCAAAGGCCATGGCGATTGTCCTTCCAGCAGCAGCGGTCTGTCTCCTGATGGTGCTCGGCTTCATCTATATGAAGTATATTCGGCAACCAATGGACGTGGACGAAGAACAGCCCGCAGAGGGCGAAGGAGGAGGTGGCGGAGAAGAGGGAGGCGAAGAGGGAGGTGACGAACAAGCCGCAGAAAACGCCGATGCCGAGCCGGAGTAGTGCAAAGATACCCACGAAGATTTAATTTGCATTCTAAATGCATTTCAAATTATCAGTTGGCGGGTTTCCGAAGGATCGTACTCGTCAGTACTCCACGTACCCTGTTGCAAGCTCATGTGGTCTATGTGTTAGCTTTTCAATATAATAAGTCATCGCATTTTCTTTGGCAATCTTCAGCCGTCATTGAAGGTCAGTTTTACCGATTTTGACGTTTTTATATATATATGTTCATGACTTGCCCACTAAAAGGCCACAAAATAACGAGAGTATATTCGAAACCTGCGAATCTAGCATGCAGGCATACAGATTTGACCTCGGGTCAGCGTTTGATACACAAAGGGCAAAAATCGTCGAAATTTTTCTATACAGAGTTTGTGTTCTGAAACAATTTTGATAAAAAGCATATACGTTAGCGCTTTAAAAAGCAATGTTTCCGTATCGCAACACGTCGGATGGTCCTATAACTTGGCCCAGAAGTTGAAGGTGACTAGCTCGAAAAAGTTGACCTCAGGTCATGCGGTCATTACCTGACCAGAAAGCAACCCTGCATGTCCGCCGATCCGTACAAACGCTTCCAAGGTGTCCGTCGCTTGAGCATGCCTACGAAAAGTTACTATCGCCAAACTGATGTCACGAAATATCCGTGATATCTCCTGCGTCACGCTGTCCAGCCACATCTCAGGGGTGTCGCCTGGCCCACCTTCCCCAGAGAGTTAACAACTTAACACTGACGTGTAGGTAGCCTTGGTCTCCCCGTGTCACTGTGCTCACATTACCACGAAGTTAGTCAGCGTGAACAAATCGGAAGGAATCTGTTGCCATGGTTGCCCTGTACCACAAGATAAACACCGCAGAGCCAAAAGCGAGAGCACAACATCCATCGGCTCAATGGGAGCATACTTCCGACGGGAATGTTTCTGGAAAACCGGCTCCGACGCATTAGCAGCTGGCATGCCGCATCCAAACAGGCGAGTCAGGCGATATGAAGCATTTATTGCCAGCCATTCAGCTCTCCGCATCCTGCCACAGAGGCGGACGCTTCATGGTCAGTTATGCGCAGCAATCATTGGCAATGGTACGACACATTCCATTGCACCATTCCATCAGCATGACGCCATTCGATTCAACCATTCTACAAATGCGACGCCATTCCACACATACAACGTCACATCTCATCCCCTCACATCTCATTTGGCTCTCCACATATCCACAAACTCCACTCATCGCGGCTCCTCGGACGTAGGCAGGCTGCCGCTGCCCTCACCGCAGTGCCGATAGCCCGACCACTAACATCTCCACCCCTAGGGCGCGGGACAGTGGGGCACCCGGCTGAGGCCGCGTCGCGGTCTGCCGCAGAGGCCAGCCCACTCCAAACAGCAGTCGACAAACCCCAGGCGGCCCCAGCTCCCGTCCCGATCCCCGCGCGCCGGCTGGCAGTCCTCTGCTTACTTTTCGTGTCATCCACGAGCGCATTAATGCATCAGCACGTACAGTGGGGCCCGGGAAATAATGACGTCACCACGGAGACCGGTGACGTCACATAAAACACACGAGATACCACAGAGGTTGATCAACAGTGCGGTATCGGTATGCGTCGTGCACGCACAAGCACAGGCACGCGTGCCCGGACGCACATTGTTACTACTGTGATACAAACGTGCTGCAAATGTGCAAACTGCGGCAAAAACGCACTTGGATGAGTCAGGTACTGCCAATGAAATGCCCCGTGATGATGGCACATCGGAAATCATGGTCACCACACGGGCAGTTGGGGATCATCTTACAGCTAGACGACCTTAGAAATCAAACATGCCTGACAACAGCAACTCTTTAGCAATGCGCAGTGCCAAACTATAAACATTGAAGCCACGCAGACGAGTAACCCAACACCAAACACATACCCGTGCCCCCAGCTAGCGGCGGTGAATCTACCAATCACGTGTTTATTGTTATACTGCAGATGTCCGCTGCAGTTATATCCTAAGATTAATACAAATCATTCGATCGCCACGGTATAAAAGCTTCTGCAGCGTACAGGTGAATCGCTCAGAGCGCATGTGATGTCATGTTCTATCTACATTTCGTAATGTTATTAATGATACACAGAAAACCGAGTACATCAAAACCTCACTTTGGAAATGACTCATTCCAAACAGACATCCAATAAATCTTCTACGGTGTTTAGGTCTAACGGCACAAGTATGGCAGCAACTTGTAGTGGCAGGCAACACCGTTCCGACGTGACACGTAACAGGAGATCCGCAAAATCGTTCATCCGTGCAGCGGGCATAACCCCAAATACGCTCACAAAAGCCATGAGCTTTTATGACGCACGAATATAATGCGCTCAAACCCGCGCAAGTTTGTATGAAATAACATGCCAAAACATCACATACGTAAAAATGAAGGCATGAATGTTAACAGACACATAACTCGTACAAATGCTACGTATTATAGCTATGTTGTAAATGACAACTTTTAAATCAACATCAACATCGGGGCATTCCACGTTAAATCAAACACCGAAATCCGTCATCCCCTTCGATTTTTCTGAAAATTTGTAGGCAGACTGGGCATGGTTCAAAACTGAGTTACGTATAATATTTTCGAAATTTGATAACGTATCGCTGAGATATAGGTCATCGAATATAGCGAAAAATGCGACACATCAATTTTTTAAATGGCTATAACTCTGGTTCCTTTTCTGGTATCAAAATGATATTAACAGGGTCTTATAGGCAATTGATAAGGCTTTGATTTTTAATTATAAAGTTAAATTGAAGTGACCTTGAAATGCATTTGACCTTGAATTAAAACATAAAAATTTAAATAGCAAAAAACACGTCACCTTCGATTTGGGTAATTTTTACATATTATGTCCGTCACAATGTTCCTAACCATCTGTGAAAAAATTGGAGTGGGCCATTCATAACTTTCGCGGCAAACGCCGTTTTCATACATCAACATCACGCAACCGCGCGTGACCTTGAAAGACAGAGTCAAGACATGCTTGCTTGTGTACACTTTCTGAAATGAATGATTGCTGATTAGTGATATCCCAAACTCTGCGAGAATGGAAATGCATAGTCATCGTAGTCAAGCATTCACGTTCCATAGTAAAAGTGTCTCAGGCAAACGGTATTTTGCGGTGAATTTTGAGCCGTGTGGAAATGCATCATGAAGTAAATTCAACGAAAACATTATCACGCAACGATATCTTCACGTCTTTTGATCTTCACTATACGAAAGAACATACATTTTTTAGTATGTATGGGGAATTTCTAGTTAATCCAATAATAAATATGGCAGTTAGAGGCCTGCTAAGAGTAACATGTCGCCGGCTGAGGCGGGCTCGGCCGATGCGGGAAACGCAGCAATCACAATTTTGTGTTTACACGTTCATATTTCAATTGTTTACCAACCGATTTTCAAAATTTATTCACCATAAGATTGCCTGTACATTTCTGAGTCTTCTCACAAAATTTGACGCGAATCGAACGTAATCAGCGGTAGGGAGCGCGATGTAAAGACGGAACCGTTCCGTTCCGTCCCGGCACAGTCTACAATTCAGGCGGCGCGTATAGCGGTCGGCGCCGGCTGCCGAGTCGCCGCGTCGCTGCGGCGACAGGATGTTCACTTTACACCGCTATTACTAGAACAGTTGTGAACCGATTTTCTTATTGCTTGCACGATGAGATGTCCAATTCAATTCTTAACAGGTAGCCATAATTAAGTTCGCATTAATCTTATGAGATATTGGCGAAAAACAGGAGGGGTGGGCGAAATTCGCTCTTCCCCCTCCACTGCGCGTGCTAACATACGTTTGCATATGTGCAATTTTCTTCAAAACTTATGAATGGCCCACTCTAATTTTTTCACAGGTTGTTAAGAATATGGTAGGCAATAAAATATATGAAAATGAGCCAAATCGAAGGTGACGTGTTTTTTGCTATTTCAATATTTGTGCTTAAGAACAGAGTTAAGCAAATTTCAAGGTCATATATTTAAGTAGGTGCAATTCTAAACAAATGCTTAAGAAATTACCTAAACAGTAAGGTTTATTTCATTCAAATCAAACAAGTACAACCAAAGTTATGGTCGTTCAAAAATATAAAGATGCAACATTTTGTAAAAATTTGATGCCCTATATTTAGAAGACCTGTGGTCAGAATGTGCAAAAAACATCAATGTAATGTCCGGGGCCACACAGGAACTCGCTCACAAATTTATAATGAAATCGCTGATGGTAAGGTGCAAAACAGCCGATTTTTGTTCGATTTGACGTGGAATGCCCCCATCTTGTTAAATCATTCTACTAGTTATTCGTAGCGATGGTCGAAATAATCGCTGCCATCCAGCCAAATTCATCGGCTCATCAAGCGTACCGTAAACCACACCACTCAATTGACCATAAGAATGAGCAAATCACACCACTACGTTATTATATCACCGTTATTGATTAGGTGACCGGATGGGGCAGCGAGCATACGCCACAAATAATGATTAATAATTTCATAATGACATTGGTTATTATTAGCACCAATGTTTTTAATACAATTATGTTTTCCAGTGATAACATTGATAACCTCATATTATCATAGGTAATTTAATAATTTGATAATTAACCCGCGCCCCACTGGGGTCTGTGTATAACACGCCCTACTGGGGGGGGGGGGGGCTATTCATAGCCCCCCCTCCTAACTCCGAAACTACTGGGCCGATCGTCAAAATTCAAACGGCGTCTGATAGCCCCGGAAAAACTGTCGAGCGAAACCTAATTTCATTGACCTCGAGGTCACCGATGACGTCACAGGTCAGGTCAAAGTAAAAATTATTAGCACTTTGGCTTGTTCACATTTTGGGCTCTGGCCGCCGTCTTACAAGTCAGATCAGGCTCATTTTTGGTTTCCACACTCGTGAACAGATGCTCTAGATACCTTGAGGGTACCAAACTTGTACTTTGATTTTCAGGTCAGGGTCAGGTCATCACAGGTCACGAAAATATTATATCATGCGTCGGTCACGTGACACATGTTTTATGGTCCATTTAGGCCATAGATTTCGAATTTGATGTCGTCTATGTCATTCGAGGTCATTTTGAGTCGAATTTAGCTTAGGTCAGGTCACTTTCAGGTCAAAAAAGGTCAAATTTTGAAGTTGAAATTTTTCAACAAAAAAGGTGTCTATTGGATGCAGTTTGAGCTCAGGAACACGATGGTGCCATTTATATTGGTGTACGATGCCAAATACGTACTGAAAAATTGATTTGAAAAATTAATAATTGTGAATTTTTTGCAATAATGCGTATAACTTGACCATTTTTGAAGATATTTAGCTAAAACTTGCTAGAGTTAGTCATAATCATGCGTTCTGTCACATATATTCCGGTTTTTTCGAAAAGTCAAAAACTTTTTGAAAAAAATATAAAAATATAAATTTTGAATATTATTATATAAAATTTTCGAAATTTTCAAAATTTTGAAAATCCGAGATAGCAGTTTGATAGCGCGGTCAATTCTGAGTTCTTTCATGCAAAGAAATTGGATCTAGCTTAAAAACTGAGCTCTTGGGAGCGATTGCCGTGGTTCAATGTTTTGCGTCGAAATCGGACGAACATGACGTCACTCTGACGTCATTTCCGGCCGACCTATGGTAGCTACGAAGTTCAAATTTTGACACAAGGTGTCAAATTGATGCAGCCGAAGGTACTGAAAGTTTGGCGTCGATCCGTCAAGCGGTTTGGAAGTTATTGCAGAAAAACGGGAGGGGGGCTATAAATAGCCCCCCCCCCCCCCAGTGGGGCGCGGGTTAAGTAAAGCTACTGGTTTTGAAAACAAGCAAATCTAATCACTCTGGGTTCACATTTGGCCAATCTTTTCAATGCAATGCATGACCCTCACGCGCATTATTGGTAAAAAACGCATAATTATACAAAAAAAAACACGCAAGGGTAGCAATCCGCGCCGCTTGCTTCCGGAAACAATTCGCCGGCTGCCGGCGCGGAACCAGCCTTCAATCCAACTCTCGCCTAAACTAACTCCCGACTCCAGACACTATCAGCCCACTGAGCGTTGCATGTGACTCCGTCCGAAATCATCCCCAAATCGCGGCTCCCACAATTCATTAGCTCAACAAAGACTGCGGCGGGAATCTAGCCCACACCAGTGGCGGCGGCGGCGGCGGCGGCGGCAGCGGCGGCGGGGCGCGAACGCAGCGCGCAATATCGCTATATGCGTGAGTGGTGTGCTGGGAGTTACTGCATCTATGTATTTTCCGTGTCATCAGCCATGGAGGTGATCGTGCCAACCAACCAGCCACCGCTCGGTAGGATATACTGGGACGGAGGGTGTGGGGAGCGAGGGAGGGTGGCGCGGGATTGGGTCGGGCGGGACCAGACGGGGAGGGGAGGAACTGCGGGTCGGGAGATGAGGGGAGGGAACGGGGAGTAGGGTGAGGGTGAGACTAGCTGACACGAGCGGCGGCTCAGGGCAGATCAGGCCCGGCGTCACGTCATCAGAGCCGGATGAGGGCTGAATGGAATAGCGCTGTCCGCCGCCGTTCGAGCGAAAACCCGCTGACGCTCCCACCCGCGCTACTGCCGTTTGGATAACAAATGGAAATACCCTTTTCAACAAATTCATTTTTTTCAAAATGACGCCACTAGCTAGCCCGCTTTATAAATTTCATCTGAAGGCCTTCATTTTTACTTCCACTTGTCTCTCCAAGTCGCACACTCGTTCCCGATCTCAAAATAGCGGGCCAGGCTCATCACCCGATATCTCCGCTCGTGATCTCTCGGCTTCGTGACGGCGCGTCAGCCCGCTGGCACTGCGGGCCAGTTAGCACCTATCGGGCGTCCGTCCTCCCGTCAGCCGGGGCCGCCTTCAGTGACAGTTGTGACGTGTCACTGGCCGGGCCGGCGGCTGCGGCGCGCGGCTCACCGTCTCAGGGCACCGCCGAGCCCCGAAGTACGAGTAATTCAGGTCGGATTCGTGTCAGCGTGCCAGGACCCCCGTAGAGCGGCCGCCGGCCACACCAGCGCAACTGCACGACACGGCCACTCAGGCGTCCGATATTTCTTCCGCGTTTACGCTGCGTCCCGCGGTGCAACTAGCAATCTAGTGCAGGCGTCTCCAGTGTATCAGAAAAGATGACGCAACTCTTTCGGTACCCAACAGCGCAGTCCATATCCAAACCCACCCAACCCGACCGAAATCGAGCCGGAAGGCAGTTCGATGCGCCCGTATACCCAGAGGTCTGTCACGTAGGCTGGCTAACGTTTTGACTGTCGTGACACACTTCTGAAGTCGCCGCCGCCGCCGCCGCTGCGCAGTCAGTCATCATCCGCGCGTGACGAAAACTTTACGGCCCGGGTCGAAACTAATCCCGAGTCTCTGCGAAGTGACACCCACCTCTGGCCAACCGTCAGCCGCTCGGACTGAGTCGGACGCGGGCGTCTCCCGCACTGCGAGTCACTGCCGACCAGCGGCCAGTGACTCCGAACAGCACTGGTAAGGCTGGGTTATCCCTCGTTGCATAGACGGTGAGTCGTTGAGAGTCACCGCCAGCGGTTTTCTCAACGCTATGGACGATGAACGTGGCACCGTAGGCGGATAACGAGGCATAACACAGTGGCGCCTAACCGGATCGGCCTCTCCATTGGGGCGAGTAGGCCTGAACACATGTAGTATTACTCTCCACTGGGATTAGAGTGAAGTACACACTTCCCACCCAGGCAATGGTCAGTGAACTGGTTTTAACCACTTCAGCGAACGGCTCTACCTACACCCCACAGCGGCGTTCTTGAACAGCGCCAAATCTGCCACCCTCCCTCAGTATCTCTCCTCCCCCTCTCTCCACCCTCCTCCCCGCTCTACCTCACCGCTCTACATCCGTTCACCGTGCGCCAGCGGCGGCTGGAGCGAGGCTCGGCCGGCCACAGACGCGGCCGGCAGCCGGTACTGGCGCAGCGGCGGCGGCCGCTGAGCCGACTGCTGCAGCCGCTGTCCGCCGGCCGGCGCCGGCTGCAGCAGGATCAGCTGGTGGGTGGCCCCGCTGGCCACCGGCAGAGTGGGTACCGCGGCGCCGGAGGAGAACACCAGAGGCACGGATGAGGTGACGCCGGCCACAGAGGCGGTCGGCACGGCGCCGGCCGGCCGCGCCACGCGCCGCACCTCTTCGGGTGGAGAGACGAGGCCAGCGCCGGACGGTACCGGTGCCTCAGCGCCCATCAGTCGCGTCAGGTCGTCCAGCTCCAGCCGAGAGAGGCCGTCAGTGTCGGCCGGCGCTGTGGGCACACAAGAGGGCAGGCCAGGTCACTAAACGGTGTCGGCCAGGGCTGTAGGGAAACACAACGGGACAGGTCGGGTCAGGTCGGGTCAGGTCACTAAACCGTGTCCGTCGGGGCTGTACGCACGCATCACGACAGGGTCGGGTCAGGTCAGGCCACTAAGCCGTTTCAGCCGGGGCTGCGGACACACACCAAGACATGTCATGTCGGCTCACACCGATCAATAGGGGCCTTGACAGACATGACTTCGGAAATACGAGATGTCTTGTCATGTCAGGTCACACCAAGCCGCCAGAAGTCAAACAGCTGCCAAGGGAAATCGACAAGCTAATACTGCCGGGTCCGGTCACATATGCTAGGTGAGAGCCTTGCCTTAGCATTCAGTGACATCTGTTTCCTACGAGCTTATCAAACGAGCTTATCAAACCAGCGGGGCAGCATCTGTTAAAGCTGAATGAATTTAATGTGCCGGGTAATATTCATCACATGACACATCTTTGGTGTCCTGTTAGCGCCGATATACACTGCAAGGATGACGTACAGTCCACAGCAGAAGTAATGTGTGGTTTCAGTCATGGGTATGTTCTGCTTCTGAAGCCTAGGAACGATAAGCCAGACTGCAACGAGACTTTAAATGTAGCTTACATGTATCTTCACCCTTGCAGCTACAACTTTATCTATTGACGTCATCTTTTCAATCAGTCCGCATTTAAAAATCGTCGGTCAAAGCCATCCGTTGAGATTGGTAAAACCACACATTACTTTAGCGGTGGGCTGTACATCTGTGGCATATTATTAAAATGATCCAATAGTATGGATATTGATGAGGGATTTGGCACTCGACAGCTGCCCGTGGCATGCACGCTTGACTTGGTCACTTAATTACATCCTGGACGAAGTTCCATCCCTTAAGACACATCATCCCCGAGAGTGTTGATCAAGCTCACTTCACAACTTTGTGCTTGTTGCCTTATTGCGTAACTGTCTGGCGAACTTTCATTGAAATCAAAACACACCGCGAAGACTTCCTGCGCCGTTCCCATCCCAATCGAACGCGCCTCGCGTCGCGGATGGTGCCCGGGAGGTAGGCTGTTCCGCAGCACACAGTAGTTCCCATTCCTCTCACCAGATGTCTCTCACCAATGACGCCTGATAGGGTAGACTGTGCCGTACAGCCTCAACCCCCCTCCACGAAGCGCTCGAGTCGGCTCGAGCGCTCCCCGAGCGCTCCCCGCGCTCGAGTCGGCGGGGAGCGGCGTTACAGCGATAATGAAAGACTGCTAAGACATAACGCATTGTGTTTGGCAGTGGAGCCGCTCGTAAAACTGTTATAAACGTTAATGTTGACTCTAATTATGTTTGTCTTTGGGCGAAAAATGTTGGTTAGGATGCGTTAGTTAGCTTACTTTGCGCGTCAACTGCTTTCATAGAAATGTCTATGAATCTCTATGAATCTCTCTATCTCTATGAATCCAAAACTAGTCCCACCGCAGCCCCAACACAAAAGAAAAACACACTTCACTAGCCGCTACTGGTACCGACTGCGCACCAAGCCAATAATCTAGTAAAGCGACATCCCAGTTGAAACTCCATACCATCACGCCACTGGTGTACCGGAGACAATAACCGAATAGATTGCACGGTCCGAACTGTGTGGTACAGGCACCTCAATCATCATTACCGGGAGCACCGCGACCCCCGTGAACCGTCAATGAGGCTCCATTGCCAAATGGCACTCCAACCATTGGAGCGTGACTCGCTATCGACGGGGGGGGGGGCTAAGGGGGTAGTTATAACAGCGACAACGACAGAGCAGGGCGGGGTGGGCAAACAGCAGCACAACGCCTTCTAAGCAGGCGCACGGTCCGCACTAACGCCATCCATCGTCGTAATGACTTCACTAACGCCGTATAATGCGCGCTTTACCCGTGCCTCAGTACACGAAGACGTGAATTTCGGGTATGCGGCGCGGCCATTTACATTTCGCAGTGGTCGTGACTGAGAGGTAGGCATCACGACCTCACTGGAAGACCGAGGGGAGGGGAAGGGAGGGGAGGTCGTAAGGTCAGGGTCGGACGAGCCCCGCAATAAAGGTCGTGTCAACGCTCGGTAACGACGCACTGGCACGCGATTTGTCATGTCTCATGCCGCTGGCAACCGCAGGTACAAGATAGCGCACCCAAGTAACTAGGAATCAACGGGACTCAAGTGACCGCGGCTTCGCGCAATGAGAAGTAGGTCTGCGGTGGATATTGTAGGCCCGAAATAGACTACTGGATTAGCAGTCAAAGCCGATACACATCCTCGCATCACATAAGCAGCAAATAGCTTCGCCAAATGACAGAGAGGCCTAGCATAGTTTCTCGAGCATTAGAGTTGTCATCAGCATACCACGTCTTCAACATATTTAGAAACCAAATCCACTCACAACTTCACAAATAGCCCTGCATATGTGATCATCCAGCTACAGTGAGTTTAGATAGTCTTGTAAGCCTACGCCAGGCCATTGCTCAGCGGGTGTATCTAGATTCCATCGTAGCCGCCGCAGTCCGAGTCCAGTCCTCTACCAATCAGTGTCTAATCAGTGTCAATCCTTATATCCCGTCCACAATAAGTCCATCCTCAGTCCTCGTCGGATCCAGCATCCCGGTAGTTCGTACTCAGTGGTTCGCTGGCCTGCTCATCCACCCATAACTACCCACATTTTCCCACATCTACCCACGCCAGCGAGGCAGCGCAGGCATCAGAGCAACGGGGGAGAGCAGTGGGAGGGGAGGGAGGTCGGATCAGCACGTTCTCAAAACCACCTAACGAGGCGTTCGTTAGACGGCAAAAACAGCGCAGAGTCGCAGCTGGGGCCGCGCTGACGTCGACAGCCGACTGAGGGAAGCCTTCGGCGAAGGGACGGACGACAGTCAGTAGTCTTTAGAACACACCCCGCGGCGCTCGGTCGCCCTCGGAACAATCCCCCAGCTCCTTCCACGTGCGCCTTTCGGTCAGAGCCGCAGCAGGATGCCCTTTACGGTACCGATGCTCGTATTTCCATAGCTGGGTAGCGTGGATGTCGTTACACATCTGTACTGCCCTCCGGCTGATAATGGCTGCCCAGTGCCCACTGAGAGAGGGAAACGCATGGCACGCCTGCTGGCATACCAGAAAATTAAGAAATAATAAATTTTTATTAATTATTTCTGATACCCTGTCTTAAGTTTACCATGGCCTTATTTAAGCCAGAATGGATAACTTCAAATTACTTATTTCAGTTTGAAGCATTTTAGTAAGCGTCACAGACTACTGACTAGCATTTTCAAAGAATGTGTGCCGCACCGTTGGAAACGAAAGAAAGTTATCCGGGATGTTTACAAAAGCAAAGCATGTTTCGCAAATGCGTCCGGACCATTTTGAAAGTTAATGCGTTTATTCTGAAAAGTAAGTACGATATATTAAAGCATACACGACCCTTTAGACCGGAATCACACTTGGTTCCACAAAGCGGCTATATTAACCAGCTCAGTATTCCCGCTGAACACGACACTCCATCAGCCGAGCTCTTCAGGCGCCCCCAGCTGACGAGCTCTCGACGAGCCGAGTTTTACCCTGACGGCGTGTTGTGTGCCATTTTGCGGCGGATCGTTCTGACACGCCGCGGAACGGTGCCGTTCCCGCTGAGCGGCGAGTGATGACCGCCATCAGCCGGCACATCAGAGCGCTGACCTCCGCCAGTCGCCAGAGGCGTTATAAAGAGGTCAGCCGGTATACATTACACAGCTGGGTCAGTGGCAGCACTGTCACTGTGTCCACGGATAGTGGCTGTGTGATACGGTCAGATGGACGGTCATCAGTCCCGTATTCGTTGCATTATGATGAGGCGACTGTCGAGTTATGTACCCTAGGAGATTTTAGACGATTTGTCTTAGAGGAAATTTAAGACGAGTACTGAGTAGTAGTCTAAAATATCCTGGTTATAAATAGTTGGGCCAAGGTCACAGAAGCATAAAACATGATAGCTATTAGATGCATCAATACAGAAGGCACACAAAGCTTATCATCAGCTAAGCGATCTAGATTTTGAGCAAGTTGGCCTCAAAATACAAATATCAGGTGCGGAACAGAGCGGTCGTTTGAGTTCATTTTCACATTCCACATCACGGGTGCCACCTCATGAATACAGAGTGACCAGTCCATGGCATGATGTATTGAAAGTAGTGGACCGGGCTGCGCCCGAACCATTCCTTGCCAAAGTACTGTCCAGTGTTGTCCTTTCACAGCCGCAACGGCAATGCATACCAAACGGCGCGGCCCATTTCGAGTCTCATGTTACTGCCCAGTCAGGCATTGGCAGGTTGCATTAGGGAGATGCAGGTAGACTGGAGTTTGGGAACGGGCGGTGGATATTTTATTAGTTTCGTTCTCAGGCTATGGGAGCCCGAGTCTAGACAGAGAAAATGGAAAGGAGCAGCTTATATAAAGTTCTTCTATCGTGACATTCGTGACATATTCATCACATTTTTCGTGACCGATGAGACGCCATAATCCCAAGGAGCTCAGCATAAAACTCAGACTGACATCTCCTGCCAGTCGCATAACCACATCTCACGAGCGCGACATCTTATCGTTCAGCTCGACAGAACACATCGCAGCGCGGTCGGTCCGGCAATGAATGGAGTCCATCGGACTTCCAGCCGTCTGACCGGCTGTATACAGAGCTCTGACTGGCTGTCTGCCCCCTCGGACATCGCTCGACCAATCGGGCTGACGAGGCGGGCACCACGACAGTGACCGAGCGCCGCCGCCGCCAGATAGCCGACGCCAATTGCCCGATGGTCGCCACATCAACTATTGATGGCCTTGGTGGTCTGAAGGACCGGCTCGCGACGAGCGGCACCCGTCAGAGATACGATCATCCGCTGAGCGCGTCCGAGCAGAGAGCTGAGACGCGTGGGCGGGGGCCAAAGAGGCGCTGTGCCATGGGACCAGGGGCCGAACCTATGGGACTC